AAGACTAGTCTAGCAACCAAAGAGCATTATTAATAAGAAAAATAGTAAAAGAACCCCACATTTACTAAGAACTCCTTTAAGCTCGTATAGCTTGCTCGAGTATGTTTTGACTTTGAGTATAAAAAATATATATTATGATATGTCACAACTCCTAATATCATTTCCCGTGAATCTATCTTAAATCAAAAATATTTTTTAATTACCCATAAATCTATACTCAACATCCATAACATAAAATTTGAGGGTACCAAATGCATTCAATTCTTATTTACATATATACTATAAAATTTATACGATCTATAATCATACAACACATCACTTGATAACTCTATAAAACTCATTGCCAAATCAAAATTATTAATAATCACTTTGTAGACTCACAAGATCTAATAAAAATATCATAATCATAAAAACCAATTATTTACCTACACATCAGTATAAAGCCATCACATTTAATATTCTAAACTTTAAAATACGTTATATCTTTTAACCTTTACAACAACACACACTAACTTATAGTTTTATACAACATTACAAATAAAGTGTTGTTTACAATAATATCTTATTAAATCACTAAAAATATATCACCAATAACATAAGCTAACCTGAAAATTTTATACAACAATAATATAATCTACAAAACTCAACAAGTGACTACCATATTTATAACGTATAGAAAGTAAATCATGTGGGATAAGCATCAAGGTGAAAAGCATGCATTCAAGAGTCATACTTATCATTTTATATATGATTCATACTTAGGAGCAAAGAGCAATATATAAGTAAATCATAAAAAGCATGAGATCAAGAGGCATATATGAGATTTCATTTGATTTATTGATATCAAAGCAACGTATAGCAACATAAGAGCGAATCAAAATCATAATGTAATCATGAGCTCAAGAATTATCATACTTGATCTAATGATAGTAATGGAGCAAAGAGCACCATATGCGCATATTAAGAACAAATGCAAGTCATGAGTTCAAGAGGTATATTTGATATTTCATTCAATGTATTCGTATCATAAGAGCAAATAATAACACATAAGTATATTCCAAAAAAACATAAAGGATGAAATGAGATCATGACATAGTACAATACTACTCATTCTTGGGTGGCCACTAGTCTATCATGTTTGGATAAAGTCATTTGATAAAGTCATTTGGGCGACAAGGGCATCACAAAATCTACATATAACTCCTTTTTATTTTTTATTCATATTATCACACAAATACTAGAGTATAATAAGGACATTCTTATTAAGAAGGTAGGATATATCATAAGCACATGTGAAATTACAATAATATACATATGTATATATGAAACAATATCAAGCTAATATGAATATATTAATTATAACAATATCAATTAAAATAAGAATCAGTAAGTAAGAAATAAAAGAGGTTTTATAGTAATAACACGAGACTTATTTGAAAGAAGATTTTAGTTGATAACATATTTCAATTATATGAAAAGGACATAGATGATATAGTGGATCATGACATAACATAATTTCATCCATTTTTGGATGAACATAACATAAGTTTATAGCTAGTTATGACTCCACGAGCACCCATGTTCTCTCTATTTTTATATTTTTTAATTCACTAATTTAACATGAAGACTTTCATAAATCATATCCCTAGCATTATTTCTCTAATATAAAAATTACTAAATAAATTCTCATATTAATTAAAAAATTCATCATACCATAAATAATGGAGACTAATTTAAAGATTTTTTGATCCACTAATCTAACATGAAGACTTTCATAAATCATAACCCTAGCAATATTCCTCTAATATAAAAATTACTAAATAAATTATCATATTAAAATAATTAAAAAAACATCATATAATAAAGTATTAGCATTACTAGGACAAAAAAAAAAAAAAAAAGGTGGAATAATGATAATTGTCAAGAATTCAAGAATTAAATGTACCATTTTGATTAATATCAGTACCTTCATTTCATTAGATTAGACAACCATCTATAGTGCAATTAACTCATCTCACCAACCCATGTCACCATCACATCATTTGGCATGCAGCCATTTTATGTTAAAACTAGAGCTTAACATTCTATCTATCAATCATATCGATTCTTGGCTTCGTCGTTAGGCATTTCTACGATCGATGACTCGATCGATGTTCAGTGCTACCAAATTCATGATTTGTCTTTTTGACGATCTATTTGGATACGAAATTGATGGTAGATTTACGAAATGATGAAACTCGTAAAGCATCGTTTCATCATATATATAATTCAAGAAAAAAATCTCTCTCTTTCTAGTGAAATTAGGATTTATTGTCCTGCGACAATTCGGTAATTCTTTTATTAAAGAAAGTGGTAAATAGTTAGTGTTGTTGATTTTAAGACACAGATAAATAGTCACTTTTGTCGACAAAAGACACTAATATCGTTGACTTTTTTGTGCGTTGACTTATTCGGATCAAATTGATTAAAGTTAGCTAGCAGCACGTTTACAATGCTTTTGGTAGAATATACGAAAGACATGATGGTTTTCCAAGCAAGTCATCACCCCATTGGTTCGATCCACGAGAGAGAGAGAGAGAGAGAGAGAGAGGGGCGGCTCAACGAATTCATGCGTGAATCACACATTTCATATTTGGAAGCGATTAATTATACTACAACAACAATGTTTTTAATTATTCATATTTGATAATTTGACTGACTTCATTTTGATTCCATTCCGACACCTTTAAGATGGGACCCAAAGCGTACATCACCAAGCACACGGTTTAATGGAAGGAAGGGACCCACTCTTATTATTTATTATTATATGATTTGGTAATTTAGTAAGTAGTTTATTTTTTGTTAATATTTATAAAATAATGTTTCAGACTCATAATCCTTAATAAATAGATATTATCAATGAATTATCAAACACCTTATCATTTGATAATCTATGAAATGATACTTTAAATAAATAGATCTGATTCATCCCGTGACCAGAAGAGGCAAGAAGAGTTGCATCCTATCCACATCCTCATTGCATTAAAAGAAGAAGAAGAAGAAGAATAATAATAAACAACAATGGTGCTCCGTCGGTCCATCCACCAATTTGTAAGGCTCACATTTAAAGCTTCCATCAATCACCCTTTCGGTACCCAAAATTACACCTCGAAAAAGACCCACTGTTTCGTGCATTAATCTTCGTGCTCTACAAGGAAAATTATTGCATCATTATCTCTATATGTATGTATAATATATATATATATATACACATATGTTTGGAAGAACACAAAAAGGATCGATTGAGAGTTCCGAGGGGAGTCTCTACTTAAAAAGTAAACGACTCATCCTTCACTATCTCCGGTTATGTGTGGAAGGCGTGAAGTAATACGTACACGTATTTTCTATTCTCGTGGCTCCCCAATAACACACGCACCATCTTTGATGTGGCCATCGATTTTCTCAATCTCAACGCAATGTGCCAAAGATATAAATGTGATGTGATTGATTTCCTTGCAAGGAAAAGTTAGTACCGCGCATGTGCACAGGAACAGTGCGTGCATGCCCACTTCCCAAAGTACCCTCGTCTCCGACCCTAAATTACAACTTCTATCTTTACTCCTTTGATGTTATTTGTGATTGTGGAGGTTGGAAGATAGGGAGGAACTCAATAAGGAATTATGATTTGAAAAATAAAGGAGTTTGTTAAAAAGGTAGCATCATTTAATTAAATAAAAATACATATATATTTATAACATCAAATGCATTATACAAATAAAAAAATACCATACGTATTGTCGAGATTCACGAAACAAATCGATCTTAAATTTTTAATGTAGTCGCTAATGTATTAATTTTTAAAATCTTTTTTTTAAAGAGAAATCTTAGGTTCTTATAATAATTTATAAAAATCTTTACTATATTTTTTATCTAATGAAATTAAACCCTGAAGTAGATCGATATGGTACATCATCCTCAAATCAATATTTTATACGTTATTCTAAACCGAAGTTGATGATGAAAATTTGATACTATTTAAGATTTAATTAAAAAAATATAATATTAAAAATAATTAAATATATCGTTCATCCGATTGATTCATTGGTTTGACTAATCAATTGAGAGTGTCGTAAGTCGATGATTACGTAGCAGCCAGCTGATAATATATTCATCGTCCTTTGTATTTATATAATATTTTAAGATATACCGATGGATCGAGAAATTATACAAGAATATAATTTTTTCTCAAGGTAAAAATAGTTGAAAGTGCATGGTCAGATGAGAACTTCTCAATGCTTTTTGTGTGTGTTAATATTGAGAGGACAAAAGGTACTTTGGAAAACAAAATAACATGTGTACAAACAAACAAACAAACAAACAAGCGAAAAGTAAGCAAAAAAGGTGCCTTTAAAGAAAGGAGTAACTTCTTTTAGAATCTCGTAGTAAGTTAATTAGGGAATTTACCCACAAGTGGAAGTGATGAGGCAGTGGCAACACTAAATAGTTAGTTAGCATCATTACAAGAGAGGAGGGTGTGAATGTGATTTAGTGAAGGGGGCAGGGTCAAGAGTTAGCATCATTACCAGTTCATTCTTGAATAATAATATCAGCGAAAAGCAAAGGAGGAGGAGAAAGAGCGGAGGTAGAAAAGCTTAACAGAGTTGGACAGGAAAAGGACTGCTCTCTGAAAACTCCTCCATTTTCTTTGCCCTTTGCCCCCTTACCCCTTCTCTCTCTCTCTCTCTCTCTCTCTCTCTCTCTCTCTCGAGTTGCTGTTAATGTACAGGCCTGCTTTTTGGTGGAGAACCTGATGCCATAGATGTGTGAGTGGGTGGTCTTTTCTCATCTTCCATTTCCTACAATCTCTACAACACCCCCCCTGCTTTCTCATCACATCTTCCGCCCCCTTCCTCTCCTTTGCTAGAGCAGGCAACTCTTGGAGTTAGAGTTCTCTTCTCAAGCTACCTTGACTTTTTCACTTCCTTTTGGATCCAAAGACTGGGTAACGCCTGCAGGTGCTTCTTCTTCTTCTTCTTCTATGTGATTTGTTTGTGTGTGTGTGTGTGTATTGTTTTCTTTCTGTCATGGGCTTTTTCTCCCATCTATCTCTTGCATGTGGTTCTTCTGTTTCCATCTTAGAGTCTCTGAAACTTCCTGCTGGGTTGCTCTTCATGGATTTTCCTTGGGATCTTGTTTTGGTCCCTGCATCAGTTTGCATCAGCCACGTCCTTGTTGGATCTTTCATCTGATCAATCGTTCTGCCCCGTCTCACCCCTCTCTCCTTGCCATCCTTGAACCCTTTTGCTTGGATCTTCTTGGGGGCGTGTGTGGGTGGGGTTCCTGGTACCTCTTTAAGAAGAGAAAACTCTAGGAAGAGGGTTTTCTTCAGATTTCCCTGTCCTTTTTGGCCCAGGAGGGTTGATATGAGCTTCTTCATCGTGCTTCCTTTATACTGTGTGTAATTTCGGCTACTTTATTCCCTTGTGTTCCATCCTAGGAATCCATCATGTTAATTCTCATCTCCATGACCTTTCCGTCCTTTCTTCTCTTCTATCTAGTTCGATTAGTGGGTGGCTATGCTTTTGATTCTCCTCGTTGGTTTGGTTCTCAAACCTTGATTAGTGGCTCGTGTTATCATTTCATGTGCAGGGCTTCTGCCAAGGTCTTCTTCTTCCTCCTCGAACTCTTCCTACTAATCTTTCAGTAAACTGGTTTTGGCTTCCTGAAATGTTTTTACGGGTGTGGCTGCTCCTTCGGTCACATAAAATGACAGCTCTCGAAGTTTTCCAACCACATAAATTTTCAAACTTCGAGTGTCTTTTGTTTCCAAGGAGACTGATCTCATCTTCTTGGCTTAGACCCACACGAATCCAGTATCAAGTATACATGAAATAATGTTTTAGAAGCCTCCACCTTGCAAAAAGTGTGCTATTTCTTCTCTGGTAGCTGCCTTCACTTTTGCCTAAGTTTAGTTTTTCTTTCTTGCTTTGTGCAATCTTGCAGGCATCAAGTCAGGTGAAGAGAGGGAGAAGGGTGGTGGTGTTTGTCCTTTGCTGGATCTTACTGCTCTCCTTCTTTTGAGGGGTTTTTAGGGAGCTCAAGTCCTTTGTTATGCTGGAGGCTAAGGATAAGAGAAGGCACAGTAGCAGTAGTGCTCTTGGGCTGCTACTCCTGTTGGAAGATTTAGGAGGAAAACTGGACAACGCTTCCTCAGATGTTATCCACTAAAAGCACACCACACCCTTCATGTTCCTCCAAGCTTCCAGCACCGGGAACAGGTGAGTGTGCTTCTGAAAAGCTTCCCTTTCAAGAGAGAAATCCCATCCTCGAAGAGACACCAACTCCTAATTTCTCTATAAGGTAACAGTTTCCCAAAACCATGCCTTGTGTTGTTATTATTATACTGCTTTCAAGGAATGGTTTTGCTTATATCAATCAGATTGGTGGGTTGACTTCTGTAGGACCTTTTGCTTAAGATTTTCCTTCTTCACTTACAAATCTGTAGAATATGGGCCAACCTTTGATGGATCTAAGAGCGGGCTTGCCAGGATCCTTATGTCGATATTCTTCTGAGACCCTCAAGTTTCTAAAGCAAAGAAAGGCTTCATTGTACTTTTTTGGAATTTTTATGTTTTTTTTATCTATTTTTATACGATTTTACTTATGTGAGTTTAATCATTCATATCACCTGTTAAAATAAGTTGTCCTTTTTGTCAATGGTGACAGATCTCGAGGGTCATGGCTTTGTGGAATATTTGTCTAGTTCTTGATTTGTGGTATCAATTTGTATCTAGTTTTGGTAATTAATAAGTGTACAATTTGAACTAGTTCTTGGTAGAATTTTGTCATGAAAAGCTGACCTCCTCGATTGCATATACTGGAAGTAGGGAGCTGCATTTGAGGATCTTACGTCCATAGAATTTATGCCTCGGTAACAAATATAGTGGATGTTCATTCTGATGGATCTTTTTCTTGGATTTCAGAGATTATGCTTTTGCAACAAGGAGCAAAGGCCTTGAGTCAAGTTGGCCATTTACGCCACATTTCTTGCAGCTTTTCCTGAAGCACGGTGTCAAAGATCTTTTGCCACCTTTCGAAACTCCAAGTTTGGTGAGAGTCCAGTGTAGCAGAAAGGGATCGGAATCTGTACAACCTGTTATATGCTCAGAAATTGAACAGATACTAACGCATGCTGATCCTCCAGTGGAGGCTGCTATTGTCAGACAGCAATCGTGTTCATCATTAGAGAAACCATCTCCTGATAGGAAGGCGTTAAGTTGTCAGAGAATCTGTAAAGATGAACTGGCTCATTGTGATGCCGAAACTGGCTGGATAAGAAACCATGAGCAAGTCGAAAGAACTTCCAGTGAAACTGGTGGACCTTCCTCCTCATTATCTAAAGCACCTTCAGAAATAGATGTTTTTGAACATACTAAAAGCCTTCAAAGCTCACATGAATCGTTAGAAAAGAAATGCAGGTTGATAGTCAAATTAGGTGTCATATCTAGGAGCTGTCAGGCAGAGGACATAATATCTAACTCTAGCACAGTTTCAGATCATATGGCTTCAAAGGTTTGTCCAGTTTGTAAAACATTTTCTTCCACTTCAAACACAACTTTGAATGCTCATATAGATCAGTGCCTCTCAATGGTGTCCAACAACAACTGGGTTTCAAACAAACTCTTAAAACCAAAAGTGAAACCGAGAAAGAAGAGACTGATGGTGGATATTTATGCTACTGCTCCTCACTGCACTCTTGAAGATCTTGATAGGAGGAATGGCACAAACTGGGCCATCGAATTGGCATTTACCACAGCAGCAACTGTTGGAGTTGATGTGGAAGCAAAGAAACCAAAGTTACCAACAGATTCTAGAGACAGCGTAAATGAAGGAGCAGTATATGTTGATTCAAATGGCATAAAACTCAGAATTTTATCCAAGCTCAATGATACACCAGAGTTGAAGAAAGAACGGAAGTTTTTGAAGCATGCAGAAGTAATTGAGACAACCAAAAAAAATTTCATCCGAAAGAAGAAGCACTTGACGACAAAGTACTCGAAGAAGATGAAAGTGAAGGCACAGAGAAAGAAACTGAGCTCATATTTGCTGTTGAAAGCACAGGTACTTCATTTTTCATCAAGAAATCTATGGCTACATATGCGTACTTGTACCCACAACCTTTGTTACCTGAGATCATCTAAACACAAAATATGAAAATTTCAATGATTCAGTAAGTTCATGCTCTTTTGGAACCAGGTTTTTGGTATTTTCAATAATATGCTAATGAGAATAAAGCCACTAGCATCATTTTTTTTGTAGTTACCTTGCCACATGTTTAAATTCTATATGTACTTCAGATATCTGAAACAACCTTGTAGTGAATTCTAAAGAAAGATTCAGACTACTACTTCTATGGTCTAATCAGCAATTCTTTTGATTCCTTTCCTCAATTTCTTTGATGTTGGAAGTTCGAATTTGTGACTATTTCTATCCTTGATTTTCTCTTGCTCAGGCTTTCTCAGTTATGATCTTTGGCTTGTAGTAAGTCTTTAAGTTTGTTAAACTTGATGCTTTCTAGCCTTTACTTTATGTGTCCAACTTCACAACTTCCTCCCCAACTGTCTATTTCATTGCTGAATTTTGCATGCCAACTTATTTTAAATTAGTTTAATTCTCACCAGCATTGATCATTTTGGAATTTGATAGCATGACTCATATATTTGCTAAATCAGATGAAAACTGCACATGAAGGAGATTGTCCTATGGATACTTGTTATGAGAATGAAGAATCAATAAACCCAGAAATCTTCCCCAAGGGCAGTGGATCTGCTTCTTCAAGGCAGTGGATGTGTTCTAGACAATCCGATATCCTGAAAAAGCCTCTCAGAAAGAATGTTCATTGTGTGTCAGATAATAATGTCACCAGAAGCAGGCTTGCCAAGAGTAGCCATCTGGATCCTGGTAAGTCTTCTGTTGCTATAAGTGATCAATTGAAGTTTTCTAGGTTATCTGAAGACTTTGTCAGCTCTCCAAAGATGATCCCCTCCATGGTCAATGGCTTTGAAAACTCTGAAAAGCTTCCTATCTCCAGTTGCAAATGGTCATCAAAAAGTACTGTGAAACATGGTCTCCTATTGAGAATATTAAAATCATCTGGGAGTTCTGTGACTCCTAGGATCAAAACAAAGGAGATTGACCTGGATATCCAGCAGGAATCTGATAAGCTTTCTCAGAGGACAAAACTTTCTTCCAAGATCTCTCATTCCTCAATAGAGGACCAAATCAATTTAACTTGGCAACAGGATGACTCAGTTAAAAGACCATCCATCAACTTGGAAGCAGGGAAAGGTGATCTAAGTGAGAAATCCTTTTCCTTTAAAACTTTCCGTAAGCATAGATCCATTTCCAAGAGTGGAGTAGAATTTCGGACAGCTATCCGCAGAGGACTGCATGGACCTGGTGTTGATATTTCAAGAACAAGTAATTCACTAGGATCCCATAAATTTGGTTGCTCGAAGAAGAATGTTGCAATATTTGCAGCAGGAGAGATGATGAATCATGCATCTCCAAACATGAACGATGTCCTAAGACCTGAGAAAAGAGATGACAGAAACATAATGGAAAAGCAGAAACACAGTGCTTTGAAGAGGTTGCGCCTTGAAACTGAAAACCACGATCCTGATTCTGAAAACTTGAACATGCAACTAGAGGTCTTTGGCTCTGGAAATTGTGCCAGTAAATCTTCAATGGAAATGGCTACTGCCAATCCTTCCCATAATGGTATTGTGAGTTCAGAAAACCTGCAAGCAACATTTGGTGCCAGATCAGAGCTTTCGCCATCGGCTGAACAAGTTCAACCTATATCTAAAAGCAAGGCCCACAAAGAACAATTAGTGGAAGGATCCGAGAAGCAAGAGGTGAACTGTGGTAGCTTGCCCAGCGAAGATATTGATGGCCTTAATAGCCAAATAACAGATGAAATGGCAGTCAGAGGGGAAAAAGGCTCTTGTGTTATCGAGCTCACAGAGTGTACGGCTGATACCATGTCCATCCAAGAGTCTAGTGGCTGCTTGACTAGTCATGAGGATGTGGGGCCTCAAATGCCCCAAAAGGGGACATCAATAACCTCAGTTATAACAACTACAAATGATGCTACAAATTTGGCTAGTGAAGACGAACCATGTGGATCACCTGTGTCAACTGCCTCAACTCTCTCCCTCCCCTCTTCAGAGGACTCCAAATACACAGATTCAGAGGCTGAACCATTAGCAATTGCTATTAATTCTCAAGACAAGTCGGATTTGATAGTACCAATTACTGAAGACACAGTAGCAGCTGCAGAAAGAAATGCTGAGGGCAGAGATCACGAAGTGAAGGAAAATCTGCCAGCAAAAGAGCCTAACCACTCACTGGAGAATAAGTTATTCTGTTGCTCATGTAGGGAGAGCCTCTCAAGAGAGTCTCAATTATTAAGATCAAATGCTGCCCACAGGACAACCAAGGGAAAGCAGCTGTCCAACTTGTTTGCCAGGCCAATAGTCTCTTCTTCTTTTAGTTCGTACAAGAATCAGAGAACTAATACTATGGCCAGCTCCAGCTTGCAACCAGATAGGCAACCTACTTTCGTTAAGCGTTCATCAGATTCTTCAGCCATGGTTCCAACTTCCAGTGTTGCTACCCCATCATCTCAGCCACATAACCAGTCAATTTCCAGTCCGATCCTTAGGTTGATGGGTAAGAATTTGATGGTGGTGAAAGATGAAGAGCTTGTGCAACCCCAAAGTAGAGTTTTGGATTACCCATCACATGTAAATTTCCTGTCTCCTCCTGGATTTGGCTCAACCAACAGCCTTCTGAAGCAGGAGAATTTTCGACACCATCACCACATCTTCGGCGGTTCTCCTGTCCTTGACTCGGCTGTCTCAATGGATGAGCACAAATTTCCCATATGCCTGCCTAGCACACCGATGGCTGGTTATTCAGTCACTCCCCAGCATGCTTTTTTTGTGCCAAGGCCTGATCAGCAGATTCAGCAAAAGAATGCATATAAGAGGGCCAAATCCTCTCCATCTCCTTATATGATGAATGAACTGATTGTGATCAGCGACTTTCCCGAGACTGATAAGGAACCAACTTTAAGCAGTCCGACAAGCACTTTGCCTTTTGCTGCCTCAGGTTTGAATCCTTCGTCTCAGAGACCATTTACCTGCTTTTCTTCACAGAACCACATAAGGGACATTCCTGGTGGCCTGAGACCATTGTTACCAAACCCATTCACTGGGGTCAATACTAGTTTGATGAGAAGAGGAAGCACTTCAGAAGGACGTGGTCCTCTACTGCCTAGCCGCTTTGTGTTCCACTCTCCTGCGGCTGCTCGCACGCACCCATCATTGTATTACTCGCAGACCCTTCGCTGATCCTCCCTGTACAAAGTGCTCGTAGAACAAATCTCTTCTCAGGTTTCTCTTGCAGCGATGTAGCCACCAAAACTTGTTGTTTTACAGTTGGGTTACCTTGGTTAGACTTTTCAATGTACAGGCCTTTTAAACAGTCATGAAGCATCCACCTGAAGAAAAAGACCGAAATTAACTAGAATCTTAGTACTCTTGAAATTTTGAAGTGTTGTGTATCAAAATATGGATGTTTCGAAGGCCTTGTTGGCTGCAACAGAGATCTTTTCTCTCTTCCAAGTGCATGTAGAACTCTGAATAATCCATGCATTTGAATCTTCCCATCAACTATGGCAATAAATCTTTTTTAGAATTGTCTTTGGTCATTGCCTCTAATTTTACTTGATGCTGATAATGAAAGTTGAATTAAACATTTTATGGGTTCCGCAGGTTGATTTGTTTATCGTCTCAAAATGGCTTTGGATATAATTAAACCTTGTAGGAATTTTGTGAATAATTTCTTGTTCGATTTCCCCCCATTAGCAAATCTTACTTGTTTTCTACGGCTTAATTGCTTGTTGATTCGTGCACTGTCGGTTCAACTAGAAGTTGATGCAACCGAAACCACCTATACGAGCATCAATAGATCCTTATTCCTTCATTCTTTACACATTAATGCATGATTCTTCAAGCCAGTGATCCATTGCGTGTGCTTATGAATCCAAAGATGATTCCGAGAAATCTGAGAGTCAGGAGGACAACACGAGAGCAGCTCATGAAAGCTTCCATAGATTCCACTGCCTGCCACATGAAATATAGCCGTTGGACAAGCAAGATCAAGTCTTTTTGCATGAACAGTAACAGAGGGCACGAGAGAGAGAGAAATGAAAACAGTAGCCAAGAGAAGTAAAAATTCCTACTTCGTTTGGTGGCAAACTGACACCACGAAGGCCCTTTTATGCTGCTGATGCTGAATTAGCGTTGTAACACCGTACGAGACACGTAAAAGCTGTCAGCCATTGGCTGGCAATTTGAAACGGGCATACGGCCATCGCCTCTTCTTTCTTCTGCTTCGCCTTGCTGCTGGCAGTGTATTCTAGCAATTAACGTGGTGGAGTTTGGCGTTATCATGGGGAGGCGTGGGCCTCGATGTGTGTGCAATGCATGGAGAATGAGAGACAGGCTCATCAATAGAGTGGCGGGAGCCACATCGCGCGGTCCAAGGAATTCCCACCACGTAGGAACAGGTGACACGCGGCCGTACCTGTGCTTCCCACGCCTCGCCCCGGCTCGTCGTCTTCCCCGCCCTATTTGAATTCTCTAATCACACACACAATAGGAGAAGAGAAAGAAGATAAAGGAAGTAATCATCATCGTTACCTCATGTTTTCGATGAGCTCTTCGATGGACACCATTCAAAGAAGTTTCCTGGTTTCCCAGACCAGGAAGCTTTTTCCGTGAAAAGTGTCTTAGACTACGGAACGTTGCTTGCTGATTGCCGAAAAAGTACAGATCAATCTTTCCATTACCATTGAGTGGTGGCAAAGCATACCACGGAGAGGGATTAAGGAGATCATGACCTCCTCGGAACAAGAGCTACACTCACTGGAACTTGAGATTGGTGAAGCCATTGTTGTGCACAGGGTCAACCAATCGATTGATCCGAGAGGTTATGGTATGGCCCAACTCCAGTGACCATGCCCTGAACAAGGTATCCCAGCATGGTACTTCATGAACTTGTCATCCTTGACAAGGCCAAGTTAAGGGTTAAAGAAACCCAACTAGTTTGCGTGGTGGTTGTAATACAATGCTTTTAATTGCTACGAGATGTGGATGCAGCTTAAACTTCGAGTGGAGAGTGGTGTTGGTTTAACTTCCATCCAAGTAAGAGAGAGAGAGAGAGAGAGAGAGAGAGCTGTCTGTCTGCTACTTGTGAAAGTATTAGAAGAGCAAATTTCCCATATACCGAGTCTTTAAAAGCTATTTTCCATATTTGAGTTCACTTGCTTCGTAATACTACAAGCAAATGTTCCACGCACGCCAAGACATTACAACCACTACTACTTTGCTATTTCGCACTACCCCTAACAGGGGGTGCTAACTACAAATGGAGCCTTTCTTGAAGTCCAATATATCGGTAGAGAGCAGACTGTATATATTCAAATAGAAGACATCCAACGAAGAGATGAGATGAAAGATATTTTTGATTGATTAAGTTGAAATATCAGGTAATTTCCTGCAGTAGTTACCCCTCACAGAAAAAGTCTCAAGTCATTTAACCTGACATTTGTAGTTATAGTTTTAAGGACAAAAATTGAATTATGCATTCGCTATGGCTCATAATATCTCATCCGACTACGTGAAGTCAACCTGAAACTGCAAGTTAAAATAGTTTTCGTTGTTTAGACTTTGCATTGCCACGTGAAATTATTTCGCAGACGGGGCGGGGCCTGCCACTTTTGCCGATGGAATGCCTCGTGAAATCCTCTGCGTGGGTGGGAGCACCAAACAGGAAGATCCAAGCGGTACGCGGACGTCGACCAATGGAAAGAGGCGTTGTATTGGTGGTTACGGCACGACAGGTGTTCCGCGCCTGGTGCCTTCTGCGAAGCACGGCCACGTGTGTGGGCCCAGTTATCTATCTGTCCACCGACATCCTCCCACGTAATAAATCCGTATAAGAAAATAACATCACCCTCTTCCGTTCCTCCCTTACCGTCTTTGGAGTTCACAGATTCGGGGGGCATCCTTTTGCCCCCTTCGGAGCCCCTTGTGTTTGATTTCCGACCAAGGAACCGCGCTAGAGGTTTGTTTTTTCTTCGAAATCCGAGATTTTCCCTGGTCGAAGTTTCAGTTGGATTTCGATTGAATCGCTCCTTCTCTTCGCTTCGTTTCCCTTGAAAGGAAATCGCGATCTTTGTCGAAGTTCCCGGCGGTTTGTTGTAATTCTCCCTAATACTTGGTCATCATCCGTGTAACTGTAGGTGATCTAGGGTTTTTCAGTAGCTTTGGGAATGAATTCGGAGGAGAGCTCCAAATCGAGGTTGGAAGAGCTGGGAGGGGAAAACAGAAGTGAAACCACTGTAAAGATGGCTCCTTTGAGTGAAATTAACGCGGAGTTTGGCGGTGAACTGGGCGGTGAAGAGCCTTCTGGGATCGATTCTCCGATTGGGACAGGAGGTGCAGATCAAATTTGGGAGGAGAAGGGTAATGTTTCTCCTGGCGAAGCAGCGGTTTCCTCTCCAGGGGCTGTGAAGGTTAATAGGGATCCCGTTGGAGGAGAGTTTTTGGCCGAGTCACCTTCCAATTCGATTGGATCTCCTTCGAGTGCAGCGGCGGAGGTGGTGGCATCGAAGTTGGCACCTTCAAAAGGTTTTGGATTGAAGAAGTGGAGGAGAATTAGGAGAGATTTGAATAAAGATATAACAGGCTGTGCTGATACAGCTCAGATTCTGAAGCGCAGACTTTCACTTGCGGAGCCATCAAAAGCTCATGAAGACAACAAGCACAAGAGTGATGGCGAGGACGAGGTTGAGGGTGAAGGTTCAGTTGCTTCATCGGTGTCCATGAACATTGGAGGGCCTCCCTTTGTAGTTGCCCCCACTACATTAGATCCAGAGCTTGGTTTATTAGTCACTGCTACTGGTTTCAATATCGGCATAGAATCTGAGAGCAGTGATGATCATGGTAGTAAGTCATCGACAGCTGCGAGTGCTCTAAGGCTGCGGCATGAAACGGTTGGTTTTGGGAGGGACAGAAGTAGGGCACGAAATGTTATTGGAAGAGTACCAGGGCATGTTGTACAACAAAGAGGTCAGCGGGCAAAAGGAGTTAGAGCCGATGTTAAGAAAATTACAGAAAACCAAGTTAAGATCGAGATGGAGAACTCCTATTCTGACTTGCAGAGTTCAAATGTGGCTGTTTTTTGTACGAATAGCATGGCTAGTAATGGGAAGCAGAGTGAGAAATCTGTGAACTATTGCGGTGAACAGAGTGATGATGCTCAGCCAAGTGTAGAAGTCAGATCAGGTTTCTTCAAAGAGAATGGGGGCATTGGAGACGTACTGAGGGATGATTTGGATGGCGAGTATTCAGGGGGTGAGAATAAGTCTAAAAGTCAGCCACTGTCGGATCTTGATCCCTTTCTAGAGTCAATTGATTCTCTCCAAGCAATAAAAGAAGCACTAGAAAATGGTAGGCATTTTTCGTCTCATTTTCATTTTCCCATAACAAGATCTGTGCAGTTCCTTTTTCTTTTCACCTTCGTTCTAATGCGTTAAGTGTAATTTTTTAGGTTTTAACATTTAATGTTCTAGAAAAGGTGTGTAGTCTTTGTTGGATCAACACGATTGGCTTAGCCTTGTTATAAAGATATAGAGCTTGTTTTGTTATCATCATCTTATTATTGTACTATATTAGTTTTTTGTTTAATCAACAAACTTGGGTTAGCCAAATTAAAAAGATAGAGAGCTTTTTTTTTCCATCCTCTTTTTGCACTTAGCAGCTGTAGCCATAAATTGACAATTGGCAAAAACTTGAGAAAAAAGGCAGCAGGATTGGTTCTATTGGTGGTTTTCAAATGTTGTGCTTATCTATAATGACTAGGATGTCATCGTGGGCATTACTAGAGAAAATAGAGCCAAGAACATCTAGGTACTTGTATCACTTGTTGATAAACTAGGGGAAATTGATTAAGGTGATTTGAAAATGTCCATATGATCTGTAGATGCAGCAACAATGGAAATTCCGATTGCTACTGTCAGGTGATTAGATGACCAAATAAGACTTTGCAGGAATGAACAAGAAAAAAATTTGATATCCCTGAATGACGTATGGTAATGCGCTTATGGAAGGATAGGATCCATGTTTTATCTTGGATGATTACAGTATTTTTTGTCTAGTAACAAATTTGCTTCCAGTCACATAACTTGTTAAATATTTGGACAATAAAGTCAATTGTTACTAAACAAAATTTTAAGAGTACACTGTTCTTTTCTTTGTTTCTCCATTTTGCTTCATTTTGATTCTTGGCACATGTTATTTCAATTAATCACTATTACCAAAATTTCCTTCCTTGTTACTTACCAAAAAAAGAAATTCATTACGATGTTATGTACAAAAAGTTCCAAAAGCTGTTTTTTCTCTGCAGACTATTAAGATTCATGTCTAGGCTTTCTTCATTTTTCTATATTGTTCTGATCAAATATTTAACACAAAAATAATTACCTGCAATGTTTGCCAAGGTCTTGGGGGACCTCAATAATTACCCAGTGCTTCCTCTATCTCTTTCTGTTCGCTCTTTTATTTGTGAAGTTCTGCAATTAAATGACTGGTTTGTGATGGTAAAGCTTTTTGTTGGTGCTAACGGATCAATAAGCTCCATTCTTAGGTTAAACTTTCTGTTGGTGCTGCTGGGTGAATCACTCAGCTAACTGATCATAGCTAAGCTCCGTCATTAGGTTAACTCTATTTCCTACTTTCCTCTTTTTCTTGTAAGAAATGCTTCTTAGGTACCTCTACATGCAGATATGGAACACTGTGATTGATATTTATTTTAGTTGGATCATCCATTTTCACATTAATTAAAAAAATTATTGAGTGAGTTCCCTTGAGATTCATGTAAGATATGTTAGACTTATGGAAGCACAGAGGAATTATGCCCGGTAGGTATTGGAGGATATTGACTGTCATGTACTGTAATGAAGTTTAAGTAGGATTACAAATAGTAATGAGTTAAAAAATTTATAACCTAACAGCATAACATGTCCAACATGTTTATGTATACTTGTCCATTCTCATTCATGCTCATTAAACCTTTTACGATTGGCTTGCAGGCCAGCTTTTGTCTATTTTAACCTATGTTGTGAAACTCTGAAGGATAGGGAAACCTTGAAGGCAACTCCTTTTGGCATATAAACATTCTCTTAAGTTCCTCATATTCCTCTGTTGATAACTTTATAGTAACATGTCAGAAAGAATCAGAATTCATCTGTCAGGCACAAAAAGTGTATATCAATATAAACTGACTATTTTGAAGGTTAAAACTTTTGGGACAGTCACTTGATGGGATCAAAATTCAGAACTCCCTAGGGACTTCAGTTAATAACAGTGAGAACATAGGTGACACAATCTATATCTTACTCTGAATCTATATTCATTGCTGTGACGAATATGACCACCCTAAATTTCCTCCTTGTTTATATTTCATTCAAAAAACACCATTCAACATAGGCTAAACATCATTCATCGGTGTCATTGTAGATCCATCGTATTCTAATCCGGAGATGTGCATAATGATGTAACATATATCCCCTGTATACTCAATACAACCATGGCGATTTTGAAGTCATGTTTTATCAAATGATATGTTAGGTCCTACAGTGCCATCTATAGTTTGGATTTAGATATGGTATACACTTCTTCTAATTCCTAATGAGTACTGTTGGTGTTTACAAATTTTCCAGGTTTATGCATTTTCTTAGTGTTGTTTGAAAATCATATTCTTATGACATTTTTAGATAAATTGCTATTAAAATTTCTGTTAGTATCATTGAATTTCATCATGTGTATATCTGATGGAGAACCATTTAGCTTTATAGAGGATTTCAGAAAAGTTTATTCTAGACAAAGAAATCAGCAAAAAGTCATCAATTATTTGGCCTAGAAACTCTAAAAGTTGTGTGAAAAATGAGGGATTATTTTCATCTTTTGAGGTGCTTACCTTGGGATTCTACTTTTGTATTAAATACACTTTTTTCATCTTATTTGTAATAAGTTATTTTAAAATTGTTTAGATCTCTTAGAAGTCACATTTTGGGTTTCTAAAAGGTATAACTAACCTTTTGACCTTGGGTTAGTTATTTGTAATAACTAACCTTTTGACCTTAAGGATGAATTCCAATAACCTACTAGAAACCCACAAACTTGAGTAATGGATCAACATGTTCGATTTTGCTGACAATTTGATGGTAGGTTTGACTTAATGTGTTTGTTGACTGATTAGATAGTATTGAGGACTACATTGAGTGGTACAAAATGATTGATATTAAATACGTGCGATTTGCAAAAAAAAAAAGAACTAGTAGGACCCAATAGAAAGTATTGGCAACATATTCAATGCAGTCTTGGACACTGTCAAGAGCCTTCTGTCACCCAATGGGAAGCCATGAAACAAAAACTTGACGAAAAATATTTGGCAACCTACTTAAAGGCCAAATGATTGAACAATTGAACCTCAAACTATTGAATTCTAGTAAGGCTAAGTATTTGGCCTGATTTAAGGAGCGTTTACTTAGTATAAAATTAAAGAGGACCAAATTATCACTGTTCGAAGGTTTGGTAATAGGTTAATATTTGACATTCAATGAGAAGCCTCCCTTAGTTTCCCCGACACCATAGAACTTTTATTAAGGTTTGACATCCATGGAAGCTTCCTAACGAGCCCATGAGATTGATAAGTCCCTCAAAATCTATCCAACTCCTCGAGCATCTTCTTAATCTTTCAATAATAACTATTTCCCAATATATCTAAGTAGTGGCTCTATCAAGCCAAAAGTATCCATTGCTAGCAACACTCCAGCCCAACCATGAATTGTCCTACTCGTTTGGTCATTGATTCTCAAATTATTTCATCTTCAATCCAATGTAATTGCTGTAACAATAGAGGGCATATTGCCTCTCGTTATTCACAACGTACCCTTACCTTAAAAAAAGAAATAGAGGATCAAATCGAGGAAATATACTAAGTAGTTTAACCCGAAGCCTACTCAAGTGATACAAATGAACTAGAAATTGAATATGCCATGACAACATTGTCCGCATCATTCTCTCTCCTACTAGTGATTCTAATATATTCTATACTTTTATACAAATCGAGGAGAGAACTTACAAGTTGATTATAGATGAACGTAGCACTATGAATGTAGTCTTAAAATCTACTATCAAGAGTCTAAACCTTAAAGTAGAGTCGCATACGATACTATTCAAAGTAGCTTGGGTTGACAAACCACTTTACTTGTGACCGAGAGATTGTATTGTGCGATTACTAGGATGAGATTTGTGATGTTCTACCAATGGATGTTACTCACATTTTTGTAGGTCAACCTTGACTATATGACCTCGATGTTACCGATCATGGGAGAGAAAACACCGATGCCTTTTACTATTAAGGTAAAAACATCATCTTGCGACCAATGAAATCATCATAAAAGGACCATTAAGGAACTCTCAAATCCCTTCCACACGCCCCAACCACCAAGGGACTCTAATTACTGGACTGTAAGTCTTTTGAAGTAAAAATATTAAACAACAAATTTTATGTGGTCATCATTGCTAAAGAATTTCCTAGTCCTTGCATTGCTTATGACCTAACTCCTAAAGTTAAATCCTTATTAAATGAATTTTCAGATGTCATACCTTTGGAATTACCTAGTGAACAACCAGGAACAACCACTCATATGGGAAATCCAACATGTAATTGACGGATCTCTCTCACTTACCTCTCACTTAACTATCATGCCTCAAATGAAGCCTACTTATTCACTCAACATATCCATGATTTGCATACTGAGATTCGACATAAAATTGTCCTAAGTAATGTAAGTTATAAATTTGCTACTAAGCACATTGTAAGAGTCAAGAGTTTTAAATTGAATTATGTCTTGGTTCGCATTTGGCTTGAGAGATTCCCCAAAACCTCATTCAAAAAATTAAGTGTTCAAGCTATTGATCCTTTTCCTATTATCAAAAAATTGAGATATAATGCATATATGCTCGATTTGCCTGTCGACTTAAATATTAATTCAGTTTTCAATATGAAAAATTTAACTCCATATCATGGTACTTTTGAGCCTCCTCTTTCTACCCATGTTCCTGCATGTGACAATCCTCTCAAAGCATCGACTCTTCCACAACACAGGGATGGTGTAGAGACTATTCTTGGTGACCGTCTTGTTTTGTCTGCTACTAGTGTCACCGATACTTTCTTGTCAAGTTGCGTGATTGTCCAACTTCCGATGTCACTTGGATTACTTTGAGGGAACTTCATGACTTTGCACCAGACTTATTGGACCACTACCTTCCAAATCACTCTACGGGTTCAAGTGTTTTTCCACATGAAGATTCATTTATCTTTATAAGGGATTTCAAAAGAGTTTATTCTAGGGAAATAAATCAGCAAAAAAATGTCATTAATTATTTGACCTAGAAACTCCAAGAGTTGTGTGAAAAATTGAAGCGTCATTTAGTCTTTCTAGGTGCTAACCTTGGGACTCTACTTTTGTATCAAGTGCACCCTTTTTCTTCTCAGTTGTAATAAGTTGTTTTAAAGTTGTTTAGGTGTCATAGAAGTCACATTTTAGGTTTTTAAAAGGTATACAAGTTCTCTAGGAGGGAGGGTACTCTTGGAAATCATTACCTCAATTGATTGTACTAAGGTTCCTAAACCCCTATAAATAGTGGAGTTTGTCAATAGATAAGACACTTCAGATTTAAATGAAAAAGAATTGCATCTTCTCTTTTCTAGCCTCTTTCTCTCCTCTATAATCTCTTATTTTACTCCTCTCTTGCTATCTCTCTATTTCTCTACCCTGTTCTACATCAATATCTAGTTCTCTTTGGGTTCAATATAAGCAATTGCATCAATAATTTTGCAATTTGACCTTTTCAATGTTTTTTTATTATGTGCAATTTCAAATTAAACATCTACGAGTGATCTGCAGTTGCACCCATGGTAGTGTAGAATGTGATTCTAGTTGCTCATGTTGTTATGACTTCTGCCTGAATTTGATGTGCTAATCGTTTATGGTTTGCCCAGATTGCATCTTGATGTTGATATGACAGGGTTTATCATATAATTATCCTCTGCATGCTTGTTTTTTAGAACTAAGCTTGTCATTTAAATTCAAGCATATTATCCATCCACACAGCTATATATTATTACATTGGAGTTTGGAGAATATGATGATACATCAACTCATTTGCTTGGATTTTCATATTGGTGAAATGTACACATGGGCCGTTATGAATTAGAACCTTTTTAAGCTTGGCATCACCTAAATGTTTTGGATTCTGATATTTTTTTGTAGTTCCCTCTCTATAGTTAGATGTAGTTGATTTAGAAGAAATATCCAATAAGCTGCACAGCACCAGCTTAGCGATCACTAGCTGCATTTAATTAATAAAGCAGTAAACTTATTGCAGTTATGACAATGTCATCTTGGTTGTCATTTTAAAGTGACTTATGAATAATATCTAACAGCATGTTTGTTTGACCATTTTCAATTGCATTATGAACTAGAGCTGAAGAACTGATAACACTTAATTTGGATAAACTACTCTAGGCAATATGTGTTGTTCTAATTCATAAAGCATTGATCTTGAGCTTACTGGTTTTGGATGATTAAGAGTAGCCATGTCATAAGAAAACCTCAATTTTCAAGTATAGTCTATTATTTCTACCTGTCAAAATGTGGTCAAGATGGTTTCTGGATTGGTTTTTTTTTTCCAGAAATTGTGATGTAAATAAAAAAATGAATTTTTTATGGAATATTGCAGAGATTCAAAATTTTTGGGAAATTGGGAAAGACGTGTTACCTGATGATTATGGTGGCCAATATGAAGAAACAGAAGGTAGTAGTTCCCCAGCTGTTGAAGTGAATTTGGTTGAACAGAATGAAAAGATAGAGCATCTAGAGTGCAAGTTGGGAGAAGCTTTAGCGGTTGTCAGGGCCAAGGAAACAAAGATACTTGAGCTTGAAGCAGTCCTCAACAGGACAGAGCGGCCAAACAAGGAATCAGATAGCACCGACCTGTTGTTCTTTCAAGAGAAATGCAGGGACATGGAGACGGAGCTTGAGAACCTGCTTGAGAAGAAGATAGAGGTAGAAATCAAATACACAATCCTGGCGAGAACTACACAAATTTGGAGAGTTCTAGAAGAAGATCACATTGCGCTTTTAGAGGAGCAGAAATCTCCATCCGGGGATCAGCTGAAGATGATGTGTGAAGTGGAGAATGCTGAAAATAAGACTGTCCTGTCTAGGGGAGGAGCTGAGGAACTAGAGAAGGATCTGTCAGCGGCCGAAGAGGTCTTGAAGCTCCAGAGGATAGCGTACAAGTACTCTCTCTGTTTTTGTGTCCAGATCATACTATTGTGTATTGCTTTTGGGTTGTTTCTCATGCAGTTATTTCCGTCATCAAGTGGGGTTGCACCCACGTAATCACAACCCAGTCTACTTTTAATGTGTCACATGAGATATTTCTGTGCACTATGCTCTTAGGCAAATACGAACGTGCCTTTTGTTTCACAAATCCTTTTGAACCCTTGGAGTTAGTATCTTTGCTTAGGGAAGTGGTCATATATTTGTTTAACAAGTTCTTGATTCTGTCAGTACATATTTTCACTGTATTTGCTTGACTAACTGGTCTAGCTTATGTATGATATTTTGGTGAGAGAAAGTTGGATGTGTTCATGATATTTGTTCTGAGAGTCGAGTTTTTCCCCTTTTTTTTTGGCTGGAAAAGTTAAAGCATTTGCTCAACTGCATTGTCATTTATAATCGTCATGGGTTCTTGTAATCTGATATCCTTGTCGTTTTCATGTGTCTTGTCATGACTACTAAACTAATGAGCTAGTAACTGTGGTTTCTGATAAATCAAACCCGGGGCTTCACTGGTTGATCAAGTTGGAAGCCTGTGTCTGCTATTAATTTGAGAATCTAGTGGAATCATCATGCTAAGGATGCATGAATATACTGAAATTAAAAGTGGGTCAGGTCTATGAAATCAATGCTTGAGATTTTGAATTTTCAAACAAAGATAAATTATCGTCACATTTCCGATCATTAACCTAAGGTGAGTCAAGGACACTGATTAAACTGCATGTCATGCTTGAAGAATGGTAATATTGCAAGAAAAATCATGGTAGAAACAAGAGATGGCAATCCAATGGTTGGTTTCATTGAAAGAATACGTCAGCGAAGAAATGGATGATCTTACATATTAATTAGTTGGCGGCATCCAGCAAGAATCGTTTCTGTTCTGCAATGTAAAAAATTAAGGTTCAGGTAAATTATCGAGTCACAACACAAAGTAGCTTCTTCAGTTCTTGTTATTGTCTTCATATGTATTGTGATTGCTTCTGTGACTTTCACCTTCTAAAGATTGAGAAGGTAAAATCGACAGTCCATCTTTGGAGACATTCAAGCAGACTTTTCCAAGTACCTGAGCTAATATGAGCAAACAAAATTGGAAGATAAACCATGCTACCACTATGACAGTGTATGGAATCATTCTGTCTTCACAATCCTACCTTTTACAACATAAACCAGCTAATATATTGGGCAAGCAGGAGCAACAAATCTGTGTATATAGATGATCGCTGCAAGTTGAATATGGATCCGACTTTTTAACAACGAAAGCACTACGAACTACGAACCTCCGATTGGTCGACAAGGAACAAACAGCAACATCAAATGGTTGCATTTGTTGGTTATGATGTAGCCAACTCCACGAGGACCCCACCGAAGCAAACTGTCACTGGCATCACCTTCAGTAGTTCCCTGAACGGAGGACAACTGCCAAAGTGGACACTCATTGAAATGGTAGTAGACAGATGATGTTAGTGTTTCCAAGTTAGCGAGTGCCGATAGTAACAACCTGTATGATAAATAATCAAAGAAACCGATATGGATGGACCTCTTTAATAAATGTTAAGAGGACAAGAGGAAGAGCAGCCAAAACTCTTGAGCCAGGTTTTCACATTAGTGCCACAGCTTACTACAGAAACCACTGCGCAGTCTCTTGCAGGTAACAATTTCTGAAAATGAATCCAGCAACTGCCCTGCCAAACTGCTGGGCTCTTCAATAAGTGTATGGATGAATGTAAGTACCACCCTGCGTTCTTGCTCGGTTGACCTCAAGCTAAACCATGTTAAGAACTTCATGCGGAAATCACTTTCAATGTGCCCCAAACACTCCAGCCATCTTATCACCTTCACGCAGTACTCATAATTGTCATCCAACTGACCCAACCTATGTTGGAATCGCCTAGGTGAACCACTGACCAAAGTGCTATCTCCCTCACAAGTTTCCTCAGCTGGTTGTTCCTCACACTCAGGTCGAGATTCCACAGCAGGCACTTCGTGGACCAATGTTGCTGCACAAGTCTGGGAATCATCACTTCCATTAGATCTGGCTAATTCATTCTTCTCAGAGCTGCATGCATTTTCCTCCTCAGGAGAGCATTCAGTGGGTGGAGTTGCCTCAGCATTTAAATCAGGAACTGTGGCCACATTCAAATCAAGCCGGCGTGAAGTGGCAGGCGCTGCTTCGACAACCTCTGCTATCACTTCACCACTCCCACCACATGACTCCTCTTGAACATTATCATCGTAAAACCCATCATAGCACCCATCTTCCTGCGCCCAAGCTAACCGCAATATCTTTCCTAGATTCCGAACTTTAAATCCAGAGGATCTGGCAACTGGTGTCTTCCCTTCTTGCTTGTCACTGGAGGAACACCCTTCTGCCCCATTATTCTCCATATGCTTGTTGATGATCTCCACGCTCTTAGTAAAACACTTCGACTCAGAGTGACCAAAATCCCCATCCTCTGTGAATGAGATAATCCGGAAGGCATATTCTGTACATGGCTGGAGGTTTGTAATTAAAATCCTTCTCTGAGCTCTTGGGAAGATGACAGGCTCTTTCTTATATGGTTGATCTCTGGTCTTGCAGTACCAGAACTTATAACCTTTGATGGCATCAAATGTTGAAGAAGCCTCCTTCAAAACAATTACAAGAGAAGATGATGATATTTCTTCAAAATGAAACCTACAGGCAGCCGGAAGTGAATCTGCAACAAAGTGGAAAAAGGGACTACTGTGTCAAACTTAAATCTCATTGTATTGACTAGAAGCAAGAGAGCACCTATGGACAAGCATCAATGAGTTTCACCTTTGTGATTTTCCTCTAAATGACCAGTTGACCTCAATCTTAACCATTCATCTGCCTTCTCAATTGCAGCAAAGCAGAGTTTCTGAACATCGGCAGCAATGGACAGCCTGCTCACAATGCCACGGGCCATCTTGGCTGATACTCCATCCACTGGACCAACTTCTGTTTCTAACTTTGCCTTCGCTTCCTCCACGGTCTGGTGCAATTCTTTAAAGCGAGAAGTGCCATCCAGAAGCCTATAGCTTAAAAAAATGCGATAACAAAGGACATCCACCCGACGAGCATCTTTTGCCACTGCAAGTTGCCTCTTCCAGCATCTGTTAGGGATGAGTTGAAGGACATCACTACACGTCAACTATTATACAGCCAAAAAGTAAAATTTCAGACAAAAACTATCACTAAACTTGACATCAATTACATTAAAACATGCGGTCAGAGATATGGCTTGCTAAACTGCACGGTCTCTAAAGCATCAAAATGATCAACTGTCAACATATTGACCAACGGTAATTAGAAGTGGTCAACAAAGAACAAATGATATTGCTTATAACAATAGAAAACATATTTGCATCTAGTTGAGGCTGAACAACAGAATGTCAACATAAAGGTTCGAATTAAGAAGACAGTATATCAAATATATCCCTCCATCCATACATATAGAAGTGCATAAACAGACTGGGCAGATTAGCTTACAGTAACCACCTTATTTTGATGAAAAAACACAATGGTAACAAAGAATAAATTAAAATCTGTAGAATACATTGTAAACAGTAAAACGATGAAGAACATCAGTACTGTTGGGATAGAAGGAAGGAGAGGAGGTATGAAGTGTGAAAAACTATGCAAGAAGTGCATGGTACAACATGTAACCTAAAGGAGTGACACTGACTTGTAAAAAAATTCGCAGTGACTCAGTAAATAAACACACAATACAAATTCACCAACAGCTAAAGAAGTGAATACTCACCCTATTATTCCAGAAACCTTTCCACAAGAAGCACAACAGTAGCTCCCATCAAGCAGCATAAATTGTCCAAGACTGAAAACTCCTGCCTTTTGGCACTGGAGTGCACACTCAATATGACAAGACAATCCACAGCAGTCCCTATCACCAGATTCAGATGTGCAGACTAACCAAAGACTAGGATCCTTGTTGTCATCAAAGAGGTGGCAGATGCAACATGAGCACCTTTTGCAGAATGTATCCTCTGAGGAAAGGACAGCCTTACAGGCTGAGTTCTTACAGATCCACGTGTTAGCAGACCTGAAATCTTCAAAGATTTCAGCAGAAGGAAGATGAACAGGATGTTCACTTCTCCTTGGTTGCTTCCTAGGGGGCTCATTGTCGGTGAGATCTGGATGATCTAAAGAAAGCTTCTTCAAGTCCAAGTTTTTGCATCCTTTGGTTGTTGCTTTACTAACAACTGTCATTTTACATTTTGATGAACTAGGTTGCTTTCTTTGTTTATCGAGACATGATTGTGCCATATCCTTCTTAGAATTAACTTCAGGAGCTCAACCAGGCTTTCTTCCAGAGTGCTTGTAGTGAAAGGATGTATTCTGAAACAATAACGGGAGAAGCAACACAATGAATTAGTGTTGATGAGAAAAATGCTAACATGCATTGATTATATGTTCTAAAACCAGGATATATATATATATATATATATATATATATATATATGCTTTGTACTGTCTACATGCATTATACATGTTTACTTAATTCCATATGATTCCCATGTCTACATGCATTATACATGTTACTTGTTGATATGAACCATGTCATGATTTATCTGGAAAACAGCAAAAAATTGTACAAAACAAGTTAAATGATTTAGAAGAGCAAATAAAACATTATAGTCTCAGTACTAAAATGGCATTCCCCAAAACACTAGACTCATTTTTGGGAAGATCTGAGTACTCCCAAACATAAATATCTCTGTCTTTCATTGTATTATTTTAGGTATGTCTTCCTCTGATACTAGTATACGTAATGCAAATGATCAACAGATTTCAGAGTACACAAGCAATGCAAGCACTTGGATACAAAGACAAGGAAAAGAATTGTCCAATTTGAAGAAAATAACAAAGGAACTGAAAGGAAGAGGATGGATATGATATGACAAACTTCGAGGAAGATGACCCCAATGGGAGCCCAATTTGGGCTTCAGAAGCATGAGGATGCAAATTGGTGAATTTAACATCTACAATGGGGGAAAAAATTTACAATTGTTACTTTGTGTGAATCTCTGATGAAGCATCATTCCTTGAGGTCTAAATGAAAACGCGTCTTCTAGGTTTATGCTCATAGTTTTGGGCCAAAGAACCATAAGCTTCAATCATTTTGTCAGAAATAAACAAAGATAACACCCTAGCACATACAATTACAATTACTAATTTTTCAAACTAGCTCTGACTTCTTATTGTATCTGACCCGAATATCCTTATCTAAAAATCCATCTAGAATGATTATTTATGAAATGCCAAGCAAACCAAACAATCATTAAAAAATTACCCACC